TGTTTGATTACTGCGGAGGAAGATTTTACCATGTGACTTACTATCGACGTCAGCCGATCAGCTCGCCGTAACAATATTAGAGAGAAAAGGCTAATACGATGCGACAAACCAATAAATGAATAAAGTATCAGAATCACGTAAATTTACTATACTCTTCCTTAATGCACGTTTTTGCATTATTCCCTAAATGCACGCTCTCGGATTTATGGTCCCAAGGCGTGCATTTAGGGAGAGTTTACTGTATATTCATTATGCATAATAATTAAGCAAATGTCTATAGTCGCACGTGCCTAATAAGAACAAATCGGTATGATAATATTATATGATAAATAATTTAACCAAATAAAGTAGCGTTTGCAGGTAGAAACGGAGAAATTATTCTGAAGCGCAATTGAAAGCACATCCGGGCATAGTTTTTCAGTGGAAAAAGTGAGTTCAAATTTCTGTGAACCCATGTAGATTTAAGTAATCGACCGTAATGGGCACAAGAAAATTGTACGTATATGCTTCTTCGTGAAGAACGGAATTTCTTTATCAACGAGATGACGGACGCTAGTATTAAACACAAGACCAGTTATTTACACTGTACTACAAGTCGACCGTTGCAAATCTATATAGAAATATACATACAACGCCTCTGGTAAAAAAGATCATCGGCCTCAACCACGATAGGGTCTCGTATTTTGTTCTATTTTAAACTCTAATTGACAACGTCTAAAAACAAACATTTATAATTAACCATTAACCATAAAATTGCCTCAAGTATTTCTTCTCGAACGCCTTCGTAAATGCTTCTTTATTTTAATGACAACTGTTGCACACATATTTTACATTGGTGTCGTCACTATTCGACCAAAACAAGTTAAATGCAAGTTTGCATATACGCATATTTGCATTTGGTTTAATTAATTTTAAGCTCGTTGATATTAATATTACTATTTGTGGATAAAAATATGGGGCTATTATCAACCTAACCCCTGAGTTTTTATGTAGAACGTTCATCTACCGCAACGCACATTGCAGTATCGATGAAAGCAATCTTACTGGTCACATCTAAACTGAATGTACTACTTTTCTATTTTACCGCATATTCGAGATCTGTTACAACGAAATACTATCAATCAGCGATCTACCGAGAAAATATAAGTTCATTTGTTTAACTGCCATTAATGAATGGTGGGAATTTTAATAAGATGTCTAAACGATGACCACATCACAAGACTTTTTCTGGAACATAGCCACACACCTTTTAATCCGAAACAATTCAAAGAACAATAATAACGTCAGCGTTGTACGAACATGATTGGTAAATTGATTACAAATTTGCTAGAATTCTAATTATGCCAGTGTGACCTGATTAGTTGGCATCGTACAAAGTTAGAAAGGGGGGAGGCTGGGATTTGTAAAATCCTCTAGACGCAAACTGCTGTCGCTTTGACAGACAGATTACCAGATCTAAAAAACTAAAGACTAAACCCATTTTATCGTAAGCTTGGTTGAACTATGCGTTGTACTTATATTTTTTCTCATGTTTCAACATTCTTGTAGCGTAATGTATTAGCATGTTTATTGTCTCCTTTGCCAAAGTCTCGGGTTTGTTTGTGTATCGTAAACATGGTCAGTGTCAAAAACGCCCGAAAAATGTTATTTAATTGGCTTGCATATCATATTATTTAATACGACTTTTAAAGTAAGAGTTACATTGCACGCTCAATTGTTGGTTAAATGTCGTCTCTTTATTACGGAAAAATTATTTTCCTAACGCAAGCAAGACAATTGTGCAAGTAAAGAGTATTATTGAATTAACAATACATAGTGGCCATATAAAGCGTAATTACGAGTTTGAAGAAAACAATCAAAGAGGAGGCATAAAGTCATGCATATATTTATGATTTAATAAAAAAAAAAAGTCTTATTTTCAATTAATTGTAATTATAAATCCTAGAAACAAAATTATTTGTTTTGACCATAGCTTTTTTTTCCTTTGCTCTTATTTACATATCTCGCTCGAGTCTTATACTAGACACATCGCGAGTGGTAAGTTCATGCTCGCTACCACTTGAAAAAATACTTGTATTGTTTGTATCGTAAGTAGTAGCTAACGACGCACTACCCTGTTCATTAATCTTATTTGTCGCCTTTACATCTGATTCATCTTCCTTACTGTCTACTGACTCAAGCTGTTTTTCCTCGTCCTCACTCAGTACCGCATTACCAATGTTACTCACCAACTCGTCGGAAATACTATTTGCTTTCTTTGATGAAAGGTGATTTCGTAACTCGATATCACGAGTGTGAATACTCTTGAATAGCTTAGGAATAACCAATCCAAACTCTGTCATACAGAACACAGTGAATGCTATACTGAATAATTCAAGGGTTTCGTATGTAAAGTTTAATGATACGAATATGCATAGAAAGTGATATGTGGATGAAAATGTAAGAAAAAGGAGATCGAGATAGAAGAAAAATGATTGAAATTTGCGATGACGAACTATCTGAGGATCCTCGCTGAGATCACTACGACGAAACGTGTTGAAAACGACAACAAGAAATATGCCTTCCAGAATCAGATAGTAAAATCTAAGTAAGGGAGTGACCCAGTCGTTGATATTATATATGATTTCCCAATCGTCGGTTTCACATTTGTCGTTTTGAACTTGACATGATTTATTGTACTGAGTGCTGGCAATGAATAAGCCGGTTAACTGTAATACCGCAAATGCAATCACCAAATAATGGAGCCGGCTGTGTTTCCTGCACGGAGCATATACGGCTTGACATCTCAAGAAAGCCAAGTACAAAATAGCCGGTCTGAGTACGATAAAAATGCCATTGCGCATGACCGTCACCCATATTCGCGTATAGGGTGCCAAAATTTTTATTAGGGTTAGGATTTCAGAAATAAAGAGGAGACCATTGACCACTGGAAACAGATAATACTTTGATACTGTCGAGCGACGGACCGCCATATGGAATATAGAGTGCAGAGTAAGCAGCATGGAGATCCCCATCAATGCTCCTCCCAAAAACAGTTCGGTTGGTGTGTCGTAAGCATTATATAATGCCTCTGACATTTCTCCTCTGGAGAGCGTAAATTCGTCGACGCAGAGCAGATAATTAAACAAAAGAAATAATTACTATTGTGTGAAAATGTGATGAACTGTTGCGGAACAATGTAACCAAGCAAATTGGTTTTGTGATTGTACAGAAAAAGTTTGCCGATTATGTGAAGGTCGAAGAAGATGAAGACTTTAAGAGTTGGAGGAGGAGAATTGAGGGAAAGAATGGAAGAGGACGAGGACGGTAGAGATTAAAGAGTAAAAAAGAATGTAGCCTCACAAACAGCTTGGTCTGATGAGTAAAAGAACATGTGAAATTGGCATAACTCCCTTTTATATAGCGACATTCGTGAAATGTTTGCAATATAAAGACAATCGGCTATTGTAATTCAAAATATTCGGCTGTCTTACCCTCATATTCGAATCAGATTTGTTGCGATCGTCTTACCAATCAGACTTGTTATTGCGATCTTGATAACGGTGTGATCTTTCTAATTAGAATCAAACTTTTAAGACGGATTAATTTGGAGTACAAAAAATTATGTAAACGGCAATAAATAATAGCGAACCGGAAAAAAAACCGCCGTAGTACTTATAAGCTGATATTGATAACATTGTTATTATAAAGCTTATAAGCATACTAAAACATGCATTCATATTCACGATCAGTTTGTTAGCAGTAGTTCAATAACGTAAACAAAGTACAACATGTGCTCGACGAGTTTTCTCCAATCAGACGTACCGGAGAAAATTGACTTTTAACTAATCAGGACTGTTTTGCATACGCCCCCCGCACAGCCGAACAAACATCACCAATTATTCGCTATAGTCACAAATTAAGTTTTGCGTGTTTGGTTTTACGTTTCTAGACTAGATTCCTAAATCTAAATTTGGCTCAAGAACCACCCTTGTAATAATCACAAGTAATAAACAAACGATCTAATGCATGTTGCGAGAGAAATGGGGTAAATAAATGGCGTTAAAATTACTGCGGAGAATGCAGGGGAGCTTTATTCTTTTATCTTCACTACGAAGCACATGCATGTCTACAAGTCTAAGTAGAACTGCAAGGGTCAATAGTCATTTTTGCAGAATATCTCTGCACGTACTGTTTCAAGTCAAACAGTGCGCGTGATGCCGATGAAAGGCTAATTAAAGATTGGCTTTTTACGATTTAGCATGCATCGCGAGCACATAAAAGGGCAAATTGTCGTGTGACTAAAAACACTCGATGCTTTTTGTGAGAGGACAACTCAATACCAAGCATTGGGTAAACTCTCGTTATTGAAACGCCAATGACATCATTTTCCACGTATTTGTACAAGAATATAATCATTATATGGAAAGCGCGCGGCTGCATTAAATGGCTGCATGGTATTAGCCATTTACAACTAGTTGCTAGATCTTGTGAGTCGATTTATTGCAAAATGTATAAAGAGCATCTTTTGTATGTTTATCCTGATTTATTCTCATTGCACGATAAATTTAATCGAACCAAGGTCTTGGGTTAGTTTAGGTGATTCCATTACCTACAGCAGTTGTATAACAGCCCGACTTGTCGAGACAACAGACCGTGTAACCGAGTCCTTTAAATTATGATCGAGTCGCTGTTTCCGTGATCTGCATAAATCCCAAAAACGCATGTTTATTATTGGCCGTTCAATTATAATCGGGGGGGGGGGGGGGGAAGGCGGGCGTTTTCCCATAGACCACTGAATACGCCCCGGGTACACTTTGGCATTACGCCCTTTTGTATGTGATTACATATATTAATTAATAAATTCTGTTTGGCCAGGCTACCATTATATACGTTTATTATGTTGAGAACGTTCATTTCAAAGAGCAATATGTATCGTTATCATAAGGAGAATCGTAACGTTGATCGATCGTAGCCGTATATCTGCAAAAACCTCACATAGAATAGTGTCAAGTTGTATAATTTAGCAAAACTGTTTGATCGCCCATCGGGCAATAAACAATACATAATAGTACGACGGCGGTAAACCTTCAATGATGTCGTTTATCGCTTAAATCAAATTCTCTATGAAGCCATGGGAAAAGATGTAGTAACAATCACTATGTGCCGAAAGCTTTGCAGATCTGTTGATTTCACAAGATTTTGTCCGCCGCATTAGACCAAATTTGGTTGACAAGTTGGCGTGGTAGTACCGCCTTATGCTTAAACCCGTTAATGTTAAGTCTCGATGAGTCGAGTGATTTGCATCCCACCAATAGAAAAATTGTAGTCCACATATTTAGTAAGTCAAAAGCGTTTGTTTTGGACATCATTGTTGTATTGCATCCCCGCACCTATTACTAAAGTATTTAATGACTTTTATTCTTTCAGTAACCATATTCACAATTGATTATTTGTTACAGCGTGCGATATGCAATTTAAACGTTACATCACTTATTAATCAAAAAGAAATTTGATATAACGAACTGCGTAGTTTAAAACTGTATTTAGTAGTTTGTACCAAATATTTACATACACATGATAATTGCTACAAGTAAATATGTAAATATATAAGCGTAGTATTATTGGTGGTCTGGTCAAGTTCTTAATTAACTAGTGATGATATAATGACGAAGATTGATTTCACTTTTTGACTAACTTTATGAGTGGAGCCATCAAGAATTTGTATGTCATTTCCATACGAAGAATTTGGCTAAAGCCGTTTGATCCTTCACGTTCAGTCTAATTTGATACTGGTTTTATACGATAAAGTCACATGAACGTTTTTACATGGTTGACATATGTTCAAATTTCAATAAAGATAAACCGACATACACTGTGTGTGACGAAAAAAACAACGGTTGTTAAATAGTAGAGTTTCAAAATCTTATTGCTGTACCAAATGTAAATGTTAACAGCTTGATAAATCAAGATACGCATTGGACTTCTTAAAGAAATTATGTATCAAGGCTTCTAAATTTTGGGAGTTTTCCATAAAGCATTTGTCTTTATCAACTTTTGTAGTTATGGATAATATTACAAAAGAGAAATGTTGTTAGCCATTCATTGAGGGCCTACAGGTATTGCATTCGAAGGAGAGTGCAGCAGCATGGAGACAGTAGATTAGAAAACGTAACGATGAAGAGAAGGTATGGTAGATTGACTTTGGATGAGCAAAATGACAGATAGTGTGAAAAGATCTGGACATGGAATTAAACGATTAAAGTGTTTACTTGCAATGCCAGGCAGGAAGTATTATCACATTAATATGTGTTGATACATGTAGGTACAAAATATTGAAAATAATTATGCTGATAAAAATAAAATTTCAACAATTGTAAAAGATAATTAACATGCATCAGATATTTTAGCAAGTTCTTGATTACATATAAAAATTTCAGTATGAAACTCCATGTTATCGTTCCGGTCGGTGTAATATTAGGTGTGCGTTCGGGAGCTTGTCTGCAGCGTTTCAGCCGACAGAGACTTTAACCTAACTAGATCAGCTATCGTTGTTCTTACTGCAACGACAGCTCAATTAAGACAGAATGCTTTGATTTATAAGTGACGTTTTCTTAATTATATATGCACGCTTCTCTTGTTTTCTATATACAAAACGTTGTTTGGATCGTATCAATTCGCGCGATACCAACAGAATCGAAGGGGAAATGTAAACTTTTATTATAACAGGGAAAAGTTTCGACTTGGTGTATTGACTAGTCAAGGGTGCGTCATTTTTTTATCAAAAACTAATTCAACAATATTAATTGCAGACTCGCTTTTCGACGTAATGTTAATTACGCGTACAGACTACAACAGATAATGTCTCATTTACAGGTTGTTGTATACTAACTTGCAAACAATATTAATAAAGTTTGCTTTGGAACGGCTATTATCCGGCAGGCAATTAATTATACTTATTCAACAATGAAATATAAAATGTGCAATTTTAAAGAAAATCGTTTATTATATTAATATAAGGAAATTGCTGAGTAAAGCTGTCCAATATATTCAAAATGTCGTTTAATGATGAGATAGGGCTATTTATCATCTTCAGGCTGTGGCAGAATCGGAGAACGCTACCATTGCAGGAATTATTACTAAAATTACCACTAATATTTTGCGTGGCAGATTTCGAGGAATGCTTAGGGACTGTTTCCGCCTGGTACTTTTGAAAGTTACAAATACTGCTAAGCTACCTATAGTAAACTTGGTAAACCAAATCGTCAAGAACCTAATTTGTATATATAGTAAACAAGATGTTATAAATTTTATAAATCAGTCTAACTTCGTTCTTCTAAGCCGAAATCGAATGATATACAAGGAGAAAAATTCTTGAAAATTATGGTATGACAAAATAAAGTTGGGACGTTAGCCAAATATTTAGTGTATAATTGAACAAACTTTACTGATAAACAAGAGGAGAAAATTATCGTGAAAGTAAAGTTGAAATAGTGGAAAAGTTGGAAACAGTAAGTAATAGAGCAGTCAGCATATCAATTGACCCGATTTTAAATTCTTGTATCAGCAAAGACCAGAATCGATAAAGTGTAAAGATTTAGATAAGTTGGTCTTTACAATTTTGAGAAAAAATGGTTGAATAATAGTTGGGAATACTATTCCACTGTTGTACGCATTATTTTAGTGAGTGAATGCTGGCTGTAGTCTCAGACCAGAAGATTTACTATAAACCTCCCTCAACTGTATTGCTAAGATTAGCTACGCAGTTACTTTAATTGTACTATTGATCCAATATTAATGGCGGTCATGGGATATATTCGGAATAGTATGGGTAACAACACGTTCACCTGCGGAGGAAGATTTTAGCATGTAACTTTCTTATCCAATTTATCAGATTCGCTTACTGTACTGTATGACACTTGTTTTCATTGATTCGCTTTCCATTCTTGATTGCGTTTTTCTCTACTCTGAGATGCCATTACTTTTTGGTGCAACTTGAACAATCTCCGGATCAATTTTTCCCGACCTGCACCACTGACAGACTTTATTTCTGAAAAGTTCAAATGCTATCACATCAGTAATCTGTATAATTTTTTAT